GTTGCATTTTGGAGTTATATTTGAGCTCACCTTCCACCTCCAGACCTGATTAGCGTGGTCCCTCTATCAAGACACGGGACTTCTCTCCATCCCAGATCTACAAATGGGAATAATAGCTCTCTCACCGAATTGAGATAAAATACTGAGAGGGCTTAGTGCAACATCTCTGGAATGTTCAATAAATATTACGTTCAAGAAGTATTAGTGTCTCTCCCATCCTGGAGTAAGGGGTACGTGAAGAGGAAGGACCAAACACCAGGGGTGAGTCAGTTGAGTCTGCTTTGGCCCCTCCAGATCCCCCATTCCTCCCCAGGGCTGGGGGTTGTTCTGTTTCCTCCCTAGGCCTCCCCTTCCTGAGCCCCCACGCCCACCCCAACGAGCCTCCTCTCATGACTCTAATAGAAGCCAATCTTCCTCAACTTGGCCCCGTTGCCACCCACAGAGACAAATGGCCTGCCATTCTGCTGGATGCTGGGAGGTGGCTGGCCAGTTGCAGGGTCATTGTTCCAAGTGTCACTGAGAGCCTGAGAGGGAGGAGAGCCACGGGATTGAAAGTAGGGCTGCAATTATGAGCCTATTCAGTTCCCTAGAATAAAGCCCTTGTCATTAGCTAGCAGCAGGAGGAGGAAGGGAAGGGGGAAGAAAGAGCCTGGTACGCACTTGCTGCCCTGGTTGGCTGCTCAGGGCTGCACACCACCCCCCTCCCCCAGCTCTCACCTGAGGGCCTCATTACCCTGGGAAGCGTAGGCAGTTTGCCCACGGGTTTGCGAGCCTAGGCACCTTTCTCGGGTGGTCCAGCCTCAGAGGCCTCTCCAGCCCCACGACTGCTCCAATGCACCCCAGTCCCTGAGGCCCACCCCTTGGCCTCCTTTCTTACAGATACCCAGCTTCCAGACTTGCTGCACTTTCGGTCTTCCCACTTCTTGGAGCATCGCTCCCTGGCAGGCTCCAGGTCCCAAGAGTTTCTCCTGACCCCATCCCCCAAAGGCTGCGCTATCCGTGGGCGAGCAGGCTGTCCCAGCAACACCCCCTCCCCCAGGGCTTGAGCTTGGCTGCCTCTTGGGAGGGGTGAGGATTTCTCCCGGCCAGGTCTCTCCCCTGGGCTGAGAGTTTGCCTCGGGCTCTGGCAGCTCCTCACCACAGGTCTGACAGATGGGGCTGTGGGTGACCAGCTGATAAAGACCAGCGGCCATGCAGCCCCCAGAGGATGAGTCCAGCGGCTTAAGGAAGGGATTCCTGCTCAGCCCCACAGCTCGGGGTTTGGCAGGGAAGGGACAGACACCCCAAACTTGGACATTTTTGGAGGGAGTCGGCTCTGAGGTCACATGCCAAAGGCCCCAGTGATCCTAAGACCTGATTGATTGGTTTAGCTTTCTTATTGAGGTCTCCTGTAGAGACGAATGGACTTATCCCCAGAGAACTCAGAGGAGGCTGATTGGGCTGGAGCCTGGCTTGTCTCAGAGCCCTGCAGCCCAGCCCAGGATCTCCCAGGGTGGCCCAGGGGACTTTGTGACCCACCCACCCTGCGCTAGCCCTCAGCCCAGTCTCTGACCTTGGCACATTCTCATAGAGATATTCACAGGGAGGTCTGGGCTACCCCCTGTAGAGGTGGGACACCTGGTTAAAGGAAAGTGATAAGGGGCTGTGAAGGAGTCAAGGATAGGGCTGGGAGCAGGGATGTCAGGGGTCTCATGGAAGAAAACTTTCTCAGCATGGAATTCCCCCAGGAAGCCAAGAACAGACAGACTTGACTGACATATACACTGTTGGACTGTCAGAAAACATCCAGAAGGCCTCCTCCCAGAGAAACCGAGAAACGGACATCAGAGACACAGACAGACAGAAATACACTCTAGGAAACTACAAACCAAACAGACAGGACAACTTGGAATACCTGGGAACAGAGGCAGACAGCTGCTGAAGGTCTGGACCAACTGGGGGCATGTCTCCCTGCCCCACCCAGAGGGGAGGGCTGAGGTGGGCAGTGTTCACAGACCCTCCATGATCGAATGTTCTCCCACCCTCCTTCCCAGAGCACCTCCGCCCCAACCTCGGCACCTGTCCCTCCAAGGGGAAACTAAGAGAGTAGATTTCCTACCCTCCCGCCCCAAAGCTTGGAAAAGAAGCCCATTCCCTTGGCGCCCCAGCTCCCATGAGGGGGGAGCACCCCTCCCACACCCGCCCCCTCTCCCACATGGCACAGCAGCTCCTCCCACCCCTTCCCACCAGAATCCAGAGCCTCAGGGTGGACCCAGCAGGCAGAGGAGTGTGGGCACGTGAAGGAATGGGAAGGATGAGAGTGAGAGGATGAGCGTGGAAAACCCTAGGGAGGATTTCTGTTGCCGGCGCCCCCCCAGGACTGAGCTTGAGGGCACCCCGCAATCTGTCTTCACTGATGCCTGGTGCTTGGGTGGTGGTAATTAAACGTTCCCTGAATTGAGCTAGATTGATGGGGTGGGAAGCAGACTAGACAGCTTTCCTCTCTTCTCCCTGCCCTGCGAAGGAGGACATGTTGAAGAAGACGACTCCGCTGTGTATCTTAACAGTGACAGCTCATGAGGAGGGGCCAGGGCCCTCAGTCTCCTTCCTTGCAGACCACCCCGATGCCACTCCACTCTCTGTCCTCTTTCTTTTCCTCTCCCCCGTCTCATTCTCCCCTTTCTTTCTCCTTCCAGTCGGTTTCCGGGCAAGCTATCATCCATTTGGGGGCATCACAGTGCCCCACTAGATGGGGAGTTCCTCCAGAATTCAAGTGGCCTTTCTCATGCTTCTGTCCCTGGCACAGAACTTGGCCCCCAGGCCACCCAGGGCGCCGGCACAGTGCTCACTCAGTTCTTCCCTTTGCCTTCCATCCTCCAACCTGGTCAGCCTTAGGGAACAACCAAGCCTCCCTCGGTCCTGGATTGAAGGATCCCGAAGGTGTGCCCCTGGTTTTGGCTTAACTCCTCGAGTTCCCTTCTCGGAGTCCTGCCTCCTCCCTGACCCTGATTTCCCAGTAGTAACACCTTTCAGGGGTGGCTTTATGTCAATAGCTACCATTCTGATTACTATCTAGTTCCTTTCCAAGGAACAAAGGAGGAAAGATCATGGCATCTTTGAGTCTTAAACCTGGAAATGCTGAGCAATAGGAGTCACATGCTCAGGGTGAGTCTGGGTACTGGTACTTTCTGGCTGTGTGATTGCGGGCAAGGCCCTTGAGTACTCCGAAACTCCCCTTGCTCTTACATAAGACAGGGATGAGAAAACCTGCCTGGTCTAACCTCACTGAGCAGCTGAGAGACTCAATGAGATGAAATGTCAACGTTACTTTCCAGATAGATCACCCTCTTGATTATACAGATGGGGAAACTGAGGCCCAGGGGAGCTAAGCAACTTGCTCAAATGAGTCCCAACAACAGGAGACTGTAGATGGGGCAACTTTCTGGCCAGAATCCAAGTATCTTTTCTCCCAGTGAAGTCAGGAACAAGTAAAGAAAAGAGAAATGTGCAGGACTGAGACAGGAAAATTGGTGGAAAGAGAACAAAGCATAACAAGGGACCCAGGTTGACAGCGCAGGGATCAAGACAAGCAAGAGGAGAGGAATTTGGCGTCGGGAAGGTAGAAGAGCGCTGGAGGGACAGGTGAAGGTGGAAGAAGGCAGACGAGAGCATGAGGAGGAGGGACAACAAAATAGGAGGCGGGCGGACAGAGGGCCAGTGAGGTCAGCAGCTCATGTTGGCTCTCATGCCCATACTCTCACTGGGGAAGTGGCTAGCACGGAACAGAAGTATTTCCCTGCACTTACATTTCAGGAAAGTCTTGAGCTTAAGAAACCCAAAGACAGAATGAAGGTGTCAGTCCTGAGATGTAACATGTCCACAGCAAACAGCCAGGAGCTGACACGTGGAGAGGGGTCAGAGTGTGGGAAGCCGGCCGAGCTGGGAGCTGCCTTGCGGTGTTCAAGCCTATCCAGGCCGCGCTGGGTGACTCACTGCCCTTCTTCCCGGGCAGGCTTTGCGAATGTGATGACGGTGATGCACATAAACCTAGAGGAACATGCATGATCTCCCCAGTAAAGTGAAAAATTTATAGTACATTTAAAACCTAACAAATAGATTTTTTTGATGACTATGACTATTTCCCACAGAAGGCTGCTATTTTGTTGACAATATTGGAAAGACCCGAAATATGTGCTGTAAAACCCACATTTTCTGTCTCATTAGATGGGCATGCCATGCCTGTGCCAATCAAAAAAATGTAAATATGTATACATATGTATATTTAATTTTACTACCCTGAGATGTTATCAGTGACTACTAAATATTTATTTCCCTAGTAAAAAAAATTAATTAATTTTTAAAAATTAATCAAAGAAAGAGGGACCATGACTAACCCACAATAAGATGAGGAAAGCCGGGGACAGTGACATCGACCCTTGACCCAACATTCCCCCTTCCTTCCCAGGTCAACAGCTATCACAGTGAAGTTTCAAAATCCTGAAAATTAAGCTCAGTCATCTTGGCTCCTTTATGGAAGGAGAAAGAAAGAAAAGTGTCAATCTTTGCTATAATAGAAAGGATGGGCGCTACCATTGCTTGAGCCCCTCCTGAGTGCCAGACAACCTATGTGATTTTATATATATATATATGTATATATATACACACACACATATATATGTATATATATATTCAGAGTGTATATATATATATATATACACACACTCTGCATAATCTAATTTAATTTCCCTTGACGTTTAAAAAGATGACATACTATGTAGACCGTTTGGGGGAAGGAGCCTAAGTTTGGAGTTTGAACAATAGGGTATAATGACCTCAAGAGTTGGGAACGGCTCATCTGGGGCCCAGAGGAAGGAAAGAGAAATAGAAGCAGGAGGCAGAAGGCAAAAACAGACAAACAAGAACACAGGACTCAGAGCAAGAGGCGCTGTGTGGTGTGCTTTGCTCCAAGGGGAAGGACGGTGGGGGTGGGGAAGGGAGGACGGCCACCAATTCATTCCCACCTTTGGGAGGCCAAGTCGGAGCCGGCGGGCTTCTGTTCAGCGTCGGCGGCTGGGCAGCAGAACTGGTGTAACACAGTCTCATTCCTGAAGAGAGAGCAGAGGGAGAAGGTCAGAGGTGGCCTTGACAGGCTGAGCCCAGCCGGCACCAAGGCATCCCTGCCTCTGTTTGCAGCCCCCGGACATCCCATCACCTAACTCTTCCTCCTTCTGAGCCCCCAGCCCCGCAGTAGGTTCCTCTGCATAGGATGTACCATTAATTTGGCTCTTTTATCATTATAGTTCTTTATAATTCCGTTCCCCACTTCAGTCCAGCAAGGCTGAACTAGGTCTATTCATCTATGATGCACAGAACTGTATGCAGTGAACGTGTTTAAGCTGACCATGTGCAAAGATACAAAGCACTCATACAGAGATTTTAGTGTGGCCGGCTGAAAATCCAAGGCATGGTGTTTGATGAGGGATTGGTTTGATGCAAATGAAAAAGCCAACTGAGAGGCAGAGATAAAGGTTCAAGTGCCAACGCTACAGCTAGCCAGCTGTGTGATACCTCATTTACCTTTCCTGGGTCTCAATTTATTTGCTAATGAAATAAGGGAGTTAAACTAGAGAAGTGGTCTTCAACACTAGCTGCTGATTACAATCACCAGGAGACTTTTTCAACCATCAGTGCCCGGTCCCTCCCCTCCGCCCCCCTTGCCGCCCCCCCCCCACCGCCCCAGGTCAGGGGCACCAGGACTTTTATAAGCTCCCAGGTGATTCGAACAGTAGCCAGAATTGAGAGCCATTAGACTAGATGATTTCCAAGGTGCCTTCCATTGTAAAAACTCTGTGATTCTAATATCTACTTTGAGCCACCTTGGGATTTAATATTAAAATTACTTTTGGATAAAATTATGCTGACATGTCGTCTTCTCTCCCTTAGCAAGTGTTCACCATCGTGGAGTCAGAGAATGTCAGACCTGGAGGGGCCCCCAAAGATTGCCTGAAAGAGGTGTTTAAACTCCTTTTAGCCTCAGAACACTTTGTCCAAACCCAATCTTTCCTGGGAGCCCTTTTATAAAGTAACCAAAGTGGAATAGCTCTATGGGCAGGAAGTGGGAGGTCTATGCCACCTCCCTGACCTGCTAGCCCCAATTTTGGTAGCCACCTTCCAGGTGTCTCTTGGGGGCCCCGTGATTACAAGAGCATAGATTAGAAACTACTGAGTTTGGCTCTTCTCACGGGAGAAAATAATGTTGGAGCCTACCTTAATTTAACAAAAATAACTCCAGTAGGATTTCATGTTTCAGTGGGAAAAAGTAAAACAAGGGAAAATTTACAAGGAAACTTAGGAAGACAGCTTATGTGTTGGGAAGACTTTTAAAACAAAACAGGAAATTGAAATGCCATTAAGAAAAAGAAATATATCTGACTACATAAAATGAAAGCATCTTGTGTGGGAAACGATACTCTAGTAAGTCAAACGACAAATGATTGAGTGGGAAAATATATTTGCAATACATATGGCAGAAGGCAAGTGCGTATCCTACCCTGAGATCCCACAAATTCATAATGCAAAGACAGAGCCAGTAGAAAAAATGGGCAAAGGACATGAATTCTGGTTGACAGAAAAGGAAATCCAAAGAGCTAACAAATAGATGGAAAGATGCTCTACCTTACTAGTAAATAGGAAAGTGCAAATGGAAGCAACACAGAGATGCCATTTCTCATCCATTGGACCGGCAGACATTAGAAAGACAAGTAACTACAAGGGCTGGTGAGAATGTGGGCAGAGAAGTGCCCTAATCCACTGCCTGTGTGGTTGTGGATTTTTACAGCTGTTTTTGGAAATTAAAAAGAACGCATGTCTTCTGACCCAGCAATCCCGCCTCTGGAATTTTATACCTTAGAAATGCAAGTAACCTGTTCATAAAGGTATTTGTACAAAATGTGGTGGAGTTGTTTTTAGTGGGGGGAAAAAAACAGCTGGAAATTACCAGAGACCCCACCAATCAGGGACTGGTTGAATACATTGGGATAGCTTCATCCATCCCATGGAGTTATGTGTTATCTCTCTGTATGGAATTATGCATGATATCTGTTGGCCGGCGTGGATTTCTACAACGTATGGCTAAATGAGAAAAGCAAGCTGCAGAGAAATGTATATAGTTTTGTAGAACAAACAATGACTCCTCTCCCTCAAATGCATATTCTATACAGTGTACTGTATTTCTAGATGAGTACATATATAACTAAGTGGTTCACGTTGGCTACCTCAGCAAGAAGAGAGCAGGACAGAGGAGGCAAAAAAAGGAAAGGGAAAGATATGCTTGGTGTAATGTTAGCTGAAAAACGTTCAAGATAAATTCCTACTTATGGTATCACTGTAAATACATTAAAATTGAATATATATCTGAACAAGGACTAGAAAATGTCAGGAACCAACACAAATATTAATGTCATTTCAGGATGGATCATGGGCAATTTTTATCTTGGATTTTTGTTAATTTAATAAATTCTTGATTATGGATTATATACAATCTATAGATTATAGACTAATAATTAATGCAACTAATATAGTTTTGTAAAAGGGCAGTAAGGAAAATAATTGAATCTGACCCCTCATTTCACACATGAGAAAACTGGGCCCAGAGTGGGGAAGTAATTTGTCTACAGTAGTTCCCTGACCGAAGTCCCAGCTCAGGCTTCCAGCTCCCCCCACCTCCCTTACTCCAGCCCTGGGGTTCCTGGGGCAAATCAGAACCTTTAGAGAATTGTCTGGATCCCAAATGTTGCATGATAGCCCCTAGGACTGCCCAGCCTGAGGAGAAGGGAAAGGAGGAAGGAGGAGACAGGGCAGGAACCAGAAGGCCTCAGAGCCCAAACCATGGAGGGGCAGGTAGACCCAGGTATGCAGGTGGCAGAGAACCTACCCCCCAGCTCCTGCCACTGGTTGTACCTGTGCCCCAGGGCAGGTTCGGATTTCCAAAAAAAGCCCCCGAGATCCTAGGCAAAGAGGCAGAGCTTGTTTACCAGCCATGGCTCTAGCATTTCAGGAAGGAGAGCTCACTTGGGTACAGTCACAAGCCGGGTGCCTGAGGGCTCTGTTTTGATCCTGCCTCCATTTCTCAGAGGCACACTCCCACAGCTGGGAGATGCTTCTCTGGCCAGGCACTCAGGCAGGTTCCAGATGGTCCTCCCAGTTCCCCAGATTCAGCTGCGTTGGCACGTGCAATGGACGATGTAATCCAGGATGTCCCCAAGTCCTTCTGTACCTTGGGCTTGGGATGGCAGTGCTATTGGGGCTTATGGTCTCTTTGGGGGTTCCTGCTGATGAGGTCCCTCAGGACAGTCCAGCTGAGAGGGGAAGCTTGCCTTTAGCTCTTCTCCTATTTCCCCTCTATCCACCTCCTACCCCATGGGTCTCCTCAGCCTGGGCCAGGGGCTCCCCATTAGAACCTCCCTTCTTGCCTTCTCTTGGAGTTTAGTTCATGCTGAATTATAAGTCCTGCTCTGCCCACCTCTGACCAGCCTGGCCACCTCCTCCACCCAAGGTCATGGTCCAAGACCCCATGGTCTTAACTTAAGTTGGCTGAACGTTGCTTTTACCCTCCCAGACTTCCTTCTCTCCACCCCAAAGGAAAACCCAAACAAAGGGATCCAAAGAATTCATTCCCATTAAAAATAAAATTGGGGGTGTGATAAGAAGAGCACTTCATCTCTGTGGTATTCATCCCCCAAAGCCATAACCACAGTCTAACCGTGAGAAAACCACCAGACACACCCAAATTGAGGACATTCTACAAAATATCTGACCAGTACTCCTCAAAACTGTCAAGGTCTTGAAAACCAAAGAGACAGAAACTGTCACAGACCAGAGAAAACTAAGAATACATGACAAATTTTCACGTGGTACCTTGGATGGGATCCTAGAGCAGAAAGAGGATAGTAGTGGAAAAACGAGTAAGATACAAATAAGGACTAGAGTTTAGCAGATAGATAGATAGATAGATAGATAGATAGATAGATAGATAGATGTAGATGATAAAATTGGGACAGCAAAATACTGATAATTATATCTTAGTACTTCATAATATTTACTATGTGGCACGGACTGTTCTAACACTTTCCATGTATTAACTTATTAATTCTCACAAAACACCATCGAGTAAAACTTCCTCATCACTCTACAGATGAGGAAACCGAGGCATAGTGAGTTTGTGGACCACTAATGATATGTCATGCATTCAACATATGCCTTACCCCTTATGACAACTCTTTATAGTATGTGTCATCATCCTCTCTTTTACAAATGAGAAAACCAAGATTCAGAACAGGTAAATGACTTGCCCATGGTCACATAGCTAGTTAGTAGGAGAGCCTACAACCCACACACGCTAGTTTCAAGGATCATGCCCATTACTCTACTTCCTAAGGTTTTTGGCCAATGGGCATTCATGTGTCCAGCCACCAAACCCTAGACTGGGAGTCCCCAGTGCCTGGTACACTGTTGGTGCTCAATGCATGAGTGTGCAGAGAAGCATCACATGCAGCCCCTGCCTCAGAGAGCCCACCAGCTAAGAGAACATCCACACTGGCAAAAGATAAGTTCCTGTTTGATTGAAGCTGGAAAAGGAAGCCATAATGAGAACGTGGGCAGAAGACTTGCTCTTCCCTGCCCAAGTCCAAGGCTTGTCCTGACACTGCCCTTGAGCTGCTTCCTGAATCCTTAGCCCTTTATCCCTCTCTGCTTCCTTCTTGTCTAGCTTTCCCTGGGAGCACTGCCACCACAGCAGATAGACCACTGGGCACCAGAGGCTGCAAAGGGGAGTGGGAGCCAGGGAGGGACAAGACAGGGTCCCTGGAGTGGCACCAACCCAAGGCTGTTACCAGCATGTCCCATCACAGCTTGTCCAGATGTAAGGCGGGGGCATGGGCACACCTGGCTTCTGTCCATGGAACCCAGAATAAGGCTTTCTTCCGTCAGGACACCTGACGTGAGGCCTTGCCTCCATCCCACTCCACACAAGGTTTTGAGAGTCAATGCCAGGGTCATCAGCTCTCCACAGATAGGCCACAATCCTTGTGTAAGTTCATTCCAGTCC